AGGACAGACCAACAATACAGGTGGCGGTCTCTTCGGCGGCGGCTTGGGCCAAAACAACCAGGCTCAGCAACAGATAGGACAAGGCTCTCTATTTGGCGGAGCCCAAAACCAGGCCAAGCCTGGTGGCCTGTTCGGCTCATCCCAACCCGCTAGCAGCGGCATGTTTGGTGGACAGAACAACCAACAGCAGGGCGGTATGTTCGGGGGTGCTAATCAGCAGCAACAGCAACCACAGAACTCGTTATTCGGCGGTTCACTGCTAGGCAATTCCCAAGGAGTCAGCCAAGGTCCCCAGTCTCTCACTGCCAACATCAACGACGTGTCTGCGTACGGCTCGCCCTCCCTCTTCTCCAACCTGGGAGGCTCAGAGACGCCCAATCCCGGTCCTCTTGCCACACCTCTTTCCAGCAAGTCTAAGCCTAGACGCAGCTCCATCTTGCCCATGTACAAGTTGAATCCCGCGTCAGCCGCTCGCTTCGTCACTCCCCAAAAGCGCGGCTTTGGATTTTCATACAGCACCTATGGTACACCCGGAGGCAGTCCTTCAAGCGCAGCGAGTACCCCTGGCGGTGCCAGCCGAAGCTTGTTGGGCTCCTCAAGCTTCAACCGCAGCTTGAGCAAGAGCGTGTCAACTAGCAACCTGCGGAGAAGCTTCAATGCCGAGGATAGCATCCTTGCACCTGGTGCTTTCTCTGCCAGTTCAGGGCCCCGCTACTACGGACAGAATGGAAGTGTCAAGAAGCTGATCATCAACAAGGACATGCGCAGCGACCTATTCTCTACGCCCACCAAGGAAAAGCCTTCCACTGATCTGGTCAATGGCTCTCGCAAGCTGTCGAAGAGGGTCAGCTTCGATACTAGCACGATGGATGCCCCCGAAGTCGATGACAACGATAGTGTCATGGGATCTACCCCGAGAGGCGGAGCCGTCGCCCAAGAATCGACTCCGGCTAGTGTCAATGTCAACGGAAGCAAGCCCGCTGCTGCTTCTGCAGATGCTGATGCCAGCAAGGGCAAGGAACTCGCTATCGTCCATGAGGAGGATACGTCCTCCCATGCACCCGAAGTCAACAAGGAGGGTCTCGATGCTGCCCCTGGTGCCTACTGGATGAGTCCGACCAAGGAAGCTCTCGCCAACATGAACAGAATGCAGCGTCAGCAAGTCACAAACTTCACCGTTGGCAGAGACAACGTCGGCAGTGTTCGCTTCAAGGTTCCCGTAGACCTTACCAACATTGATCTGGACGAGATCTACGGCGGAATCGTCATCCTCGAAACCCGCTCTGCGACTGTCTACCCCATTGCAGCCAAGAAGCCTCCTGTCGGCAAGGGGCTGAATGTTCCGGCTCTCATCTCTTTGGAGCAGTCTTGGCCACGAGGTAGAGACAAGCGCCCTAGCAACGATGCCAAACGGTTTTCCAAGCACATTGAGCGCCTCAAGCGCATCGAAGACACGACCTTTGAAAGCTACAACACCGATACTGGCGTGTGGAAGTTCTCAGTTGAGCATTTCACTACATACGGCTTGGAGTATGATGAGGATGACGACGAGCCTGAGCAGTCTGCAGCCCAGCAGCCCCGCGAAGAGGTGTCTTTCAGCAACGCTTCCCAGGAAGACTCGTATGATTCGGAGTCCAACCCACGGGAAGATGACACCTTTGACTTCCGCAGAAACAAGCGCCGCGCTCTACCCGGTGCGTTCGACCACCGTGATGAAGACTTTGGTGACGTCGAAGCTTCCCAGCGCCAGTCTTTTTTAGGGGATAGCTTCGCGGGTTCGACGTCCAATGCGCTCATTCTGTCGACTGAAGAGGAGACAGACGATCAGGACAACGGATATGGCACGTCTGAGGATGAGGATATGGTGGGTACTCCAGTCAGACGCCATCTTGCCGCGGAGCAACCAATCGACTCGCCAGACGGCGATCGTACTGCCCCAACAGCCGAAACACCAGGAGGCATTCTTCGAGCAAGGATGCGGGCACTGAAGGGTTCAGCTACTCCCATGAAACTTCAGGTCGCCGGTGGAGACGAGTGGATGGACATGCTTCAGCGGTCCGTCAGCCCTCAAAAGAGAGATCGGGCGTTTTTGCGAAGTGTGAATGAGGCAGCATTGCGCCCTGCCGCCGAGGAAGGTGAAGCAGCAAGCCAGAGAGGCCGAGTTGTGTCAGATGGGCGTGGATTCGCTACAAGCATCGATTTAATGAACTCGCTGTTTGAAAAAGCCAAGGCGCCGCCTGCGCCTGCGCCGACGAGAGGCTTCGTTCAGGTTGGTGCATACTTCATGGTCTAGGGGTTGCCAAAACTCGGCAAAACGGTTTCGGGCTCTGATTGACTATCCTGTACTTAAAATGAAGATCAATTGACTAAAATAAATTTCTTTCTAGTGGCCCTACGAGCGACAAACCAAGTCATTCGTTGACCAGTCCGACATGAGTGATGCCGACCACGCCTTTCACAATTCAATGAGGCCCAGCTGGGGACCCGACGGAACCTTGCTGTTCACATCGAGCCGCTCGTCTCTTGAGGATGCCGCCAAGCAAGACGCAACCAGCAACCTGATGATCACGAAGAATGTCATCCAAGCCGAAGGACGAGAAATCCAAGCGGCCAAGTTTTCTAACGAGGTAAGCTCGTCTGGCGACATGACATGCCATGGAGTACAGCAGCTAATCTACATCAGGACTCCGCCAAGGCCCTCGAAAACCACATTCGCATGACCAACGTTGAGCTTACTGGGGGCGTCCCGAAGCTGTCGTTACAACCTGGTTCGCTCAAGTCTATTTTCCATGATCAAGACTCGAGCAACCCTGCGAATGCTCACGAGAAGCTTGTTTGGGATCTTGCTTGCATTCTGTTTGACGGTGAAGCCGGCCCCGAGTCTCGCAGAAGCACTTTGTCCCAATTTTGGGCATCTCTTGTCGACTCTGCGTCATCACGGTCTGTGGCTCTTGCAAAGTCCAGCGAAGAGAAGGCCATTGCAGCCTTGTCTGGTCACCGTGTCCAAGATGCCTGCAAGCACTTGCTAGACGGGAAAAACTTTCACCTTGCGACGCTGGTATCATTGATTGGTAGCAACGACCAGTCGAAGAAAGACATGCGCGAGCAACTCAGCGAGTGGCAAGATGCCAACTTCCTATCTGAGTTTGCCGACCCTGTCCGGGCGATATACGAGATTCTTAGCGGCAACGTTTGCGTGTGTGAAGGGAAGAAGGAGGTTCCCCTTCATGACCGCATCGAGTCGTTTGTCATTTCCGAACGATTCGGTCTGGATTGGAAGCAAGCATTTGGCCTTCGCCTGTGGTACTCGATCTCGCGCAAGGATGACCTTTCTGCCGCGGTCCAGGTGTTCGAGGAGGATGTGGCCCAGGATCGCGAGCAGCGCCCACAGACTTGGTATGTTGAGCAAGGCATTCCCGCACTCTGGGAAGACCAAGACCAAGACCTACGGGAGGATCTCCTATGGGGCTTGCTCAAGCTCTACGCGGACAGTGAGACCGACTTGGAGGCTGTCTTGCGGCCAGAGAACAGTCAACTATCACCATTGGACGTCCGTCTTAGCTGGCAACTCAGCCGCGCGCTCCTCTCTACCGGCAAGGTGGCTTACGGCCGCGACGCGACTGAAAAGGCTGACGCTCTGACAATTTCCTTTGCCGATCAGCTCATCAACGAGGGCAGTTGGCTGGAGGCTACCTTTGTTTTACTGCATCTCAGCCAGGCTGACAGAAGGGCGAAGGCTGTTCAGGATAATCTTTGCCGCCACGCTGCTCTGTTGGGTCCGGAAAACAGAAGCAACTTTGCCACGCTCGCTCATACTTTGAAGGTGCCGGCCTCATGGATCTGGGATGCCCAGGCTCTTTACATGCGAGCGGTGAAGAGAGATGCTGCTTCCGAAGTACAGTGCCTTCTACGTGCCGGCTCATACTCTGAGGCCCACGAGGTTTTCGTGCACAAAGTCGCGCCGTCTGCCGTCATCAGCCGCGACTACAATGAACTGGCCTCTATTCTGTCCCACTTTGAGGACCACAAGAACGACATTGCAGGCTGGACTCTGGGTGGTGAGGTCTACAAGGCCTTCTTGGAGCTTGTGGACCGTCGCAGGCAGCGACAGCAGGTCGCCTCGTCTACTCTCGAAAAGCTGGTTGCAGGCCTTCCTGCCATGCGCGAGCATGCAGAGAGTGCCAACGTGACGAGTATGGCAGCCATCTCAGAGATGAGCTCAACTGTGGCCAAGGTTATGGTGGAGACGTCCAGACAAGATCAGGTAAGAATGCCCCATGTTCACTTCTTGTTTTTGCTCTATATACTAACCAATTGCCTTTGCAGGACGTTCCCCGTGTGTTGGGTCTCCCCGTTACAGAGGACGGTCACCTCAAGCACTCACTGCAACTGGGTCTTTCCTACTATGAAGGATTGATGGCCGGAGCCAGATAAGGTAGCTGATGTGGGGGGGGGAATGGATGCAGAGAGAGGAAAGAAGCGTAGGGTATAGTGGGAGACTGCTTTCTGGAGTTGGGCATGGCGTCACGACTGACTGCCCAAGATGGAGGGAAAGGAAAGCAATAATGTATTATGTATGTTGTAAGGCGTAGTAGCTGCATTCTGGCGTACCCAGAATCCTATATGTTTTGCCGGTTGAGGCGTTGTATTGTCGAACGCAGCCCAAAAAAAATTAATTGTGTCTACCAAGCTGAATGACCCCAATGAGTGTGATGTGTGTGTTTTTGCCTCTTGTTGCAATATGAGGTCGTGGGATGGCAAAGTCGATTGTAGGTTCATGAGCCATGTGAGTCAACCCACTTTGAAACCTAATTCGCCCCAGTTGGGTGGTGCTGAAGTTCCGTCTCTCACCTTCAAGTTTCAACAACACGTGCAGTTCAGTATCACAAGATTGGAAAGTCCTCACCTTCCGCTCAGCCGGGAACCCATCTCAACCTACCTAGGTACCTCAACTCAAGCCACCACATTCACCAAAACCCTGCAAACAGCCACCGTCGACCATGTCAAAGCCCAAAAACTGGCCCGCGGGTTTACCATACCTCTCGGCGCCAGCACACTCCAAGCTCCTGACCCCAACCCAACGACAAGCCATCGCGACAAAACCACCACCATCAGACGTCGTGCCCTCCATCTCCGCGCAAGCCACGGTGCTACCAAGTCCGTTGGTCAAGATCACGCCCATCACGGTGGCAGGACACCCGGCGCATGGGCAGTGCGGGTTATTTGCTACAAGGCACTTAAAGCCGGGGACGTTTGTGCTGCCGTATTTGGGGATGGTACACCCGGGGGTGGTAGACCCGGCGGAGGCCGGGACGGAAGAGGGGGAGGGGGAGAAATCGGATTACGACCTGTGGCTGGACCGGGATTCCGGGGTGGCGGTGGATGCGGATAAGGGCGGGAACGAGGCGAGGTTTGTGAATGATTATCGCGGGATCGGGGAGAGGCCGAATGCGGAGTTTCGGGAGGTTTGGTGTGAGCGGTGGAGGCAGAGGTGTATGGCTGTTTGGGTGCTGCCGGAGGGGAGGAATGGGCGTGGGAAGGGGGGGATTGGGAAGGGGGAGGAGATTTTGGTGAGTTATGGGAAGGGGTTTTGGGGGAGGAGGAGGGAGGAGGGGATGTGAGGTTTTTGTGGCTTTTGGTTTGATGGGTCTTGTTGTATGGATGGGATTGACATCATATGACCATGTAGATGGCGATGGGATATTTGTTCTTGATCTATCATTGTCCAAGTAGTTGATGTTGATGTTGATGTTCGTCCCGTCCCAAATCGAGGTATACTAAGGTTAAGATGGGTCAGAGAGTATTTGCCTTTCTGGTCAGCGTCAAGAGCTATGAACTTCTTGCCCGATGTTATTGATCTGTGTCTGCCTGGCTTGGTGACACAACGTGCCCAAGGTCGAAGGGGGCTGTGTGAAAACATGCCTGGGCTGACGGCGTACTCAAGAGTACTTGCATGTAAAACACGACGACTTGGTGGCTTGTTAGATAGACAAGAGCAGATGCCACGTCGTTTCCTCGAAAGCAAAGATTACAACGATTCAAGCTCTTGGAATTCTAGAAGTACGAGATCAAACACCTAGCCCATGCAGTCTGCAAGTGTCACAGCCAACTACCATGAGAGAATGTCTGCGCCTCTGCGCCTCGAACCTGGCAAAAGAAATCCCACAAAATCGCATATCAAGGAGTCGCATTATCGCAGCATCTGCGAATTGCTGTTAAACATCTATCAATTTGAGATAAACGTCGATATCTCAGGGCTGTGGAATAAACCTCTTCTTCATCCAGGTTCACGGTCAATCTCAACTATTGTGGAGGCAAAAGATCAACTTTGAATCACGCTGCCGACCAACTATAAAGTCCTACGGCGAAGAACTCAAAGACAAATCCGTTGTGTTGTGGGGCATCAATATCTCACTCGTGGGCCTAGGTGGAAGACATCATCACTTCTGAGCCATGTGTGGTCAATCACTACTGCGTATGAGTCAGGCAACGAACCTGTCTGACATCGGGATTGCACGAATCCCGTCCAAGCCTCACAGGTACGACTAGCTACCTATGAGCACTTTTCTGCCTAGGCATGGCGCCAAGCCGATGGCGGTTTACTTTGCCTTGGCCCGTATGTGTAGGATGCTCGTTGGTAGTCCTTTCAGCTTGATCTCTACGGTTTCCTCTGGAAGGATTCTGAAAATGAATGGTGTTGTGAAAAAGATGGTAGTCCGAGCTGCTCATCGTACGAGATTGATCGTGTTGATACCTATCTTCCAATTCTCTCGATGTGACCAAGCTAGCTACACGAACAGGATTCACAGCAATTGTATCCGTAGGGTAACCTATTCCGGGCAAGCATGTGCCAAGGTTCCTTGGAGATTCTTGGGGTTGAAGGTAGTGACGACGACGATAATACGGGATAGTGCCCGGTGGACGATGTGGCCCACGCCGGGATTGAACCTACCTATCATTTTAGGTTGGGTGGAGAAGGCACCGCCCGAAACGCAAACCAGCGTTTGCCCGGGGAGCGTTACTATTGGCTGCGTGGCTGTTACTTCCACGTTAATCTCCAGGCTCTAAGCGAGTTGTGGAGGCCGCACCCCCCCTGTCATCCCGTAACTCAGTAACCTTACAGGCGCAGCAGACGTACGGAGTTCAGTAAACGCCTTTCTTTCCTGTCCGGGTGGCGTCCGGCGCGTTCATCCCGAGTCTGCGCAAACTTCGAAACGTACATTCTCATGTTCATCTCAGGTGCGCGGGAAAGAAGTTCTGACTCTAAAGTACTCGGGTAACTTCACTTCGTCTGACTCTGACTCTGTAGAGACGGAGAGACACAAAGTAATCCAGTCTTCTATCAGTCCTAGAGTCTACGCCCAGTCTCGACTCTCAAAGGGACCACTTTCATTTCATTACAAAGCGGCATCGCGACTTGTTTTCTTTCCCGTCGCATTGACTTTGATCTGCCCGATTGGCTTCCCTCTTTCATGTCCAGGCACCCCGGACTTTTACCACTTTTCAACGACATCCTCAATATCGTACATATCGCATATTGCAGACCTCCTTTCCTTCCACCAGCCGACCCCTTCGCCTTCATCGTCGACCTGGGTATTCTCCCTAAACACCGATTGCGGACGACACTGGCAGACAACGGAAAGTAGAACACGGCCATCGGCCAACGCTCGCCAAATATGGCGTTCCTACGCCAGACATGGACCCTCATATTGAAGAACTGGAAAATCATCTCCCGCCACGCCGTCTCCGCCATCTTCATCGCCTTCATTCTTCCCATAGCTCTGACGACCTTCTTCAGCTTTGCAAAGAACCTCTTTGTTCCTCCGGCCGTCTATGGCGTTTCTGACCCGAGGCACATTCGCACTCTCCCCAACGCTCTCGATGCTGCCGCCAGCGCTGGGAGGCACAAGCTCGTTTTTGTGAACAGCGGCTTTTCAGGAGGTGACATTGACAAGGTCATCGATAGACTCGCCACCTCTGTCGAAAGCGCTGGCAAGACCGCTCTCCGCCGCTCGTCCACGACTGATCTTGCGCTTGATTGTCCTACCAACCTCCGCGGTGTATCCAACTGCTACGGAGCCGTTGTCTTCCAGGCCTCACCTTCAGAAGGACCCGGAGACTACTGGGACTACACCCTTCGCAGCGACGGCGCCTTGCGGAGCATTGTCATTGACGTGGACTCGGACAAGAACGATGCCCAGATCTACTTGTTGCCACTGCAGAGAGCTGTTGATGAGGCAATTGCTTCCGTCCAGGCTGCTTCAGGCTCCGGCTCCAGTTCTGTCCAGCAGGGCCCCCTCCCCGGCACCGTCGACGAATATCCCTTTACCAGCCTGACCCAAGAAGAGCGTGCTGTCCGCGTCAGGATCAACTATCAAAGCGCCATCACGAACTGGATGGGTGTTGCCTTTATGACCAGTGTTCTCTTCATCACCTATCACCTTACTGGCTTCATTGCTACTGAGCGCGAGAGTGGCATGATCCGTCTCGTCGATGCTATGATGCCCGTCAAACATAGATGGTTCTCCCAGGCTGCCCGGATCATCTCCTACCACGCCGCCTTCACCGTTATCTACCTTCCGGGCTGGGTGATAGGATCATTGGTGCTACGTGCCGGCGTCTTTGCTCGTACCAACGTTGGGATCGTGCTTGTATATCATGTCCTGAACGGCATAGCCATGGCGTCTCTTTCTATTCTGGCATCTTCACTCTTCAAGAAGGCTCAGATCAGTGGCATTGCGGCCGTACTTGCCATAATCCTTCTGGGAATCCTCGCACAATCCATCTCCTACCCCAGCACTGCTGCCGTTGGTGTTCTCGCCTTTCTCTTCACGCCATGCAACTACGTGTACTTCATTACTTGGATGGCACGTTGGGAGCGAGAAGACCTCCCCGCCGACCTGTCCAAGGTCGCTCCCAAGAGCCCGTGGGATATTTCCGGCATCATTCTCTGGGTGTTCTTGATTATCCAGATTTTTGTGTACCCTTTGCTTGGCGCTGTCATCGAGTCTTCCTTGCACGGCACCACTACCAAGGGCAGAACAATTGTGTTCAACCCAACTCAAACTCAGTCTAACGCTGACGAGCCGGCTGTGCGCTTGCAAGGCTTCACCAAGGTCTACAGCCCTTCTCCGATTCGACGTCTATTTTCCTTCATTTCACGCCCACGCGAATCCGTCCGCGCAGTCGACGGCCTTACATTGGATGTTAGGAGAGGACAAATCCTGTGCATGCTTGGTGCGAATGGTAGCGGAAAGTCCACAACGTTGGACTCTATTGCTGGCACAAGCAAGCTCACTGGCGGTACCATCACCATCGACGGTACTGGTGGACTGGGAATTGCTCCGCAGAAGAATGTCATGTGGGATGACTTGACGGTGGAGCAGCACATTGAGATATTCAACAGGCTCAAGTCCCCTGGAAAAGGTGCCAGCAAGCAGGAAATTCTAGACCTCATCAAGTCTATTGATCTGGAGACGAAAGCGAAAGCTGTGTCGAAGTCTCTTTCAGGCGGCCAAAAACGCAAGTTGCAATTGGGCATGATGCTCACTGGAGGAAGCGCGGTTTGCTGCGTCGACGAGGTCTCGAGTGGCATCGACCCTCTGTCACGGCGGAAGATCTGGGATATCCTACTAGCCGAGCGCGGAAGACGGACGATCATCCTTACGACACACTTTCTCGACGAGGCCGACCTTCTAGCCGACCACATCGCTATTCTTTCAAAAGGCACGCTGCGCGCCGACGGCTCTTCGGTTGAGTTGAAAGATCGCCTGGGCGGCGGTTACCGAGTCCACGTAACCAAGGAGACTGGTATGGGAAACACGCCCGACGTCGAAGGAGTTCAGAAGAAGATACACTTCGATCTGATCAGCTATATTGCCCCGTCTTCGTCGCTTGCCGCGCAGGTGATTCGCACTTTGGAAGCCAACGGCTTCCACGACTACCGTTTCTCTGGACCAACCATCGAGGACGTCTTTCTTCAATTGGCAGAGGAAATCCACGATTCCAAGGCGAGCGAGTTTATTCCCGATTCAGGTTCAGACCTGAATGAGAAGGTGGTAGCTGGCGACGTCGGCGCTACTCCTCAAGCTGGACTTCAACTCCTAAGCGGTCAGCAAATTGGATACATGCGGCAGGCTGCTATACTTTTCCGGAAACGAACGACAGTCCTCAAGACGCATTGGATCCCCTACCTCGCAGCATTGATCTTACCTGTCGCAGCCGCTGGTCTTGTCACTCTGTTTATCAAAGGCCAAACACAAAGCGGCTGCGCTCCATCGGAGGAGCGCTCGCTTGATCAGACGCAAGGATTCAGTCTAACAGACTTTACTTGGAAACTAGTCCTTGGACCAAATTCACGATTTGACCTCAACACTGCCGCCAGCGTTCTCCTGCCAGTATTCAACGCTGCTGCCGGTAGCTCTGGCAACGGTTCAACCTCTGGGACCGGAACCGACTTCGCGAGGCAACTACTGGCAGAGAACACCACTTTTACGGATAGCTTCAAAGCCTTCCAGGATACTGTCGTCGCACGACGAGTCGAGACTGTTCCTGGCGGAATCTGGCTGGGAGATGACTCCACGGTGCCCATCATCGCATACATGTCGAACTACAACGGCTT